CTGTCATTTTGAAACCACTTATGAAGGGAAAAGAAAGATCTTAGGATTCCTTGCTAAGGGAAACCAGAAGAACCATTACACCTTAAGTTTAAAGGCTCAGGGGATGAAAGAGTAGAATTGTTTGCTTCATAAAGGCAGTTACTTCTGGCAGTTCCTGGGACTCCAGTGTGATTTCAGTGAGAAGCTTCTGAGTGAGACTTTGACTCTTCCAAAGGAGGGGATTTTCAAACAAACAAAAAAAACCCAACTTTATTTTCCTTATTGACTAAAGACACTGAACATCTTTTTCTGTCCTTGTCATTGGCCATTTGTATGGCTTTGGAGAGATGTCTGTTTGGATCCTTTGCCCATTGTTTTTAACTAGAATCTTTGTCTTTTTCTTATTGAGTTATAAGAATTCTTGGTATATTCTTCATACAAGTACCTGGTCACAACCATTTTGTAGGTTGTCTTTTCACTTTGTGTTCTTTTGAAATACAGATTTTAAATTTGGATGAAGTCCAATTTACCTATTTTTTTGTTTGTGCTTTTGGTGTCACATCTAGGATGACATTGCTTATCCCAGGGTCACAAAGATTTACTTGTATGTTTTCTTCAGAGTCATAGTTTCATTTCTTAACATTTAGGTCTTGGATCCAGTTTGAGTTAATTTTTGTAGATAGTGTATAGTACGGAGGTATTTCACTTCTAACTGTTGTGCATATCTGAGGAATTTACAGCTTTAAAAAAGAGTTTGAGAACCCCAAAGATCTCAAAATTGTTCACATAGATTATCTTTGATAAGAGTCTTCTGTATCAAAAGCACTTAGTGAATTTGAGACATTAGTGGAATGTTTATCATCTTAAAGTATAAAGAAAATATAGACTCCTCCATGTTTAATAGGCTTTCTCTTTTTTTTGAGACAGAGTCGCGCTCTGTTGCCCAGGCTGGAGTGCAGTGGCATGATTTCGGCTCACTGCAACCTCCGCCTCCTGGGTTTAAGTGATTCTCGTGCTTCAGCCTCCTGAATAGCTGGGATTACAGGTGACTGCCACAACGCCCAGCTAATTTTTGTATTTTTTAGTAGAGACAGGGTTTCGCTTTGTTTGAGACCAGGCTGGTCTCAAACTCCTGACCTCAGGTGATCTGCCTGTCTCTGCCTCCCAAAGTGCTAGGATTACAGGTGTGAGCCACCATGCCTGGCCAGGCCTTCTCTTTTGACCAGTCGTCCTGGCCTACCACCTCCATGCCCTCAAACCACCCTACTACAGGGACCCAAAGAGCTGACTCTTTGATGTTAATCAGGGATCAAAATCGTTAATCAGTGAGATGGTGAAACCCTGGAAAAGATAACATGGTCACCATTTTGTTCAGTTGCAGTCTGCACCATAATCCAATAGGAGCACGAGCTATTCTTCTTAATGAAAACTTCAGATTTGTTACCTTTCAGAGTGTCATTTGTTAGAGCACTTTTGAAATTGTGGGAACCAAATTATGACATCAATTTATGTAAGCCCCTTTTACATAATGTAAAGGTAGAAAATAGTTCTAGCATATCCAGACATCAGAAATGTACCTTCTGAAAAGGATAAAGTAGCATCTTCAGAACATGCAGTGATAAGTGCTATTTTGTCACTGTGCCATTGCAGGTTTATTTGAAATACAACAATGTCCAAGAGGAAAACACTGCAACTTTCTTCATGTGTTCAGAAATCCCAACAATGAATTCTGGGAAGCGAATAGAGACATCTACTTGTCTCCAGATCGGACTGGCTCCTCCTTTGGCAAGAACTCTGAGAGGAGGGAGAGGATGGGCCACCATGACGAATACTACAGCAGGCTGCGGGGAAGGAGAAACCCAAGTCCAGACCACTCCTACAAAAGAAATGGGGAATCCGAGAGGAAAAGGAGTAGTCACAGGGGGAAGAAATCTCACAAACGCACATCAAAGAGTCGGGAGAGGCACAGTTCACGAAGCAGAGGAAGAAATAGGGACCGCAGCCGGGGCCGGGGCAGCCGGAGTCAGAGCCGCAGAAGTCGCCGCAGCCGGAGCCAAAGTTCCTCTAGGTCCCGAAGTCGTGGGAGGAGGAGGTCAGGTAATAGAGACAGAACTGTTCAAAGTCCCAAATCCAAATAAACTTGTTTTGTTCTTAAATGATTGTATATCTTATTTATTATGGTTGCTACATACTCGGATAGAAGGCTATGAATGCAGATGGGTTTGCAAGTCTGGCTGACCCCTATGTAGCCTGGGATTCTATTTAAAAAAATTTTTGTTCTCTCATAATCACGAAGTATGTTTAGTATACAAAACATAAAATATGTAACTAACGACATGAAAATTACTTGTAATCCTAACCTTGAGAGATAACTAAACATTGGAGCATTGTTTTAGTGTGTACACATTTTTCTTTTTCTTTTTAGAGATAGGTTTTCACGCTGTTGCCCAGGTGGGAGCAGTGGCATGATCTAGGTCACTGCAGCCTCAAACTCCTAGGTTCAAGTGATCTTCCTGTCTCAGCCTCCCAAGTAACTGAGACTATAGGTACACACTACCACACCTGGCTAATTTTTAAACATTTTTTTTGTGGAGACATGGTTTTGCCATGTTGCCCAAGCTGGTCTTGAACTCCTGGGCTCAAAGGATCCTCCCACCTTGTCTTCCCAAGTGCTGGGATTATAGGTGTGAGCCACCACACCCAGCCCTATGTACGCATTTTTTATACAAAGAACCTATATGAACGCATTTGAATATGCTTTTATTCATTAGAAGCATTGTCATATTTCATCAAGCCCTGTTCTTCGTTTTACTCACTGCACAGTATGGATCTACCAGTTTTTTCAACCATATTCTCACTGTTAGATTTTAAATTTTGTGCTATTAAAGAATCCTGTGCTGAAAACAATCCTGTGATGAATTTTCTTAAATACTTCCACATATTTTTGATCATTTCCTTAGCATAAATTGTATCGAGATGAATACTAAAATATTTTCAAGTTGCCTGCCAGATCACAAAACATTTATGTCAACAATAAACTTTGCTGCTCCCACAATGCCAAGTAATTTTAATCCTTACCAATTTGACAAATTTTATGTGTTCGTGTATTTAATGTTTTTTGATTCTTGTTTGCCCACTACCCCTTTTTTTAGAGATAGGGTCTTCCTATGTCACCCAGGCTGGAGTCCAGTGAGTGTTCACATGATCGTTGTGTACTATAGCCTCAAACTCCTGGGCTCAAACAATCCTCTTGGCTCAGACTCCTGAATAGCTGAGACTACAGGTGAGCGCACTGTGTCCTGCTTGTTTGCTCTTTATTAATAATCTATTGGATTTTTCTATATGTAATAGTTGAACAGCTTTTTTGCTTTAAAGTTCATTTTCTCAGCTTTAAAGTACTGAAGGGCAAAGTCCATTTTTTTTCCTCCTACTCTTCAGCTGGGGGCTGTCATGGTATACTTTTTTAAATAGTGTGTTGGAAAGTTCTTTATATAGGAGTAAAGCTGCTTTCTGTCATTTCCAGGAATATTAGGGTCATTGCTACTAAATATGCCTAGTGTTAAAGCAATCCTGGTATAAAAATCAGAATGGTCAGAGAATAGAACCTAATGCAGAAAAAGCTTCAGGCAAAAATATTACACCTAGACACCAGCTTTATCAATTTTTATAACTTTCTTTCCATTGACATACTTGGGATCTTGAATTTTGGAGTATGTGAAATTTGTTAATTTGACATTTGGGAATAAGGACTTAAAAGATACACAAAAGACTGAAACATTAATGAAATTTAGATAGGAAGAAGGTTTCTTCAAAATTGGGATTTCTACATGGTATCTGTTAAGGATGAGAGTTTTTTTTTTTTTTTTTTTTTTGAGACAGAGTGTCGCTCTTGTTACCCAGACTGGAGTGCAATGGCACGATCTCGGCTCACCGCAACCTCCGCCTCCTGGGTTCAAGCAATTCTCCTGCCTCAGCCTCCTGAGTAGCTGGGACTACAGGCACGCACCACCATGCCCAGCTAATTTTTTGTATTTTTAGTAGAGACGGGGTTTCACCACGTTGACCAGGATAGTCTCGATCTCTCGACCTCATGATCCACCCGCCTCGGCCTCCCAAAGTGCTGGGATTACAGGCTTGAGCCACCAGCGCGCGGCCAGGATGAGAGTTCTTTAATGTGTAGTCAATAAAGGAAATCATGCACATGGTCTAGGAGAATTTCACTTTAAAAAATCGGATTTGTTCCAGACTCTAAATGCCTGCTTCTTCCTGAAAATGACTGAACTATATCTACTAGTTTCAGTAATGCTGAGTAATTATCATTAAATCCAGTATTTGATACTTTTCTAAATACGATCAAGATGTATGCAATTAAATGTGGTCCGCAAAGCTGAAATCTTAGTGAATCACGGAGGACAAGAAAGAAAAACCGCCATCTTGAGCTCAAGACAACTGAAATATTGATTACTTTCCCCTCAAATGTTAATAGGCAGTGGTAGGGTAGAAGGGCAGAAGTTTCTGAACCACTGACTGTTTCATTATCCTGCTAAATGCCCATCTTGAACTTAAATTTATTAATGGTTTTTATATATATAGTCTGATTACAATTTATGTTTCAAAAATTCCAACTATACATTGCTGGCAGAAGCCCACAGGCCTGTTTTCAGTAAATAGCTAGCTGCATGTTGGAGGCTTTTTAAACCTATAAATGTCTTTTTTTCCAGTAGACTAGCAATTTAATTTGATGGTAGGTCCTGCCTTCTCCATAAATATCCCAGTTTTAGAATGTAGCATTTCCTATCTGTAGTAATAGGAGGTCCCTTAACTATCACGATAGCCAAGGATTTGATTGTTGCATACATTAGGTAGTACAGTTGGCAAATATTCGTCACTTTCTGTTGTGTGTGCTAGCACCTTCAGTTCACAAGGGGGTAAGAGGAATCTAGTTCATTTGAAATACCTTTTGATTTCCTGGAATAATCTTGAGTTGTTCATTCAGAAAGCATAGAAAAGTCAACTGCATCAAGGTTTTAAAAGCAGCATTTATTGATTGAAAATAAATGTGTAGATAAGCTCACAACAGCATGGAATCCATGTTATTTAATGAAGTACATGAAGACTCCTTAGATCTTCCACCATGTATCTTGTGTGTGCTTATAACAACCACCATATTCAAATGGAGGGGAATTTTCAATGTTTTACTGAAAAAAAAATTAGAAATTCTTTCTTCACTAGCTCTCCATAGTTTGACAAACTTTTGGAAAGAGATAAAAACACACTCCAGTATTTGTACGTTGAATGTTTATTACAACTAATTGGTGAAGTGATAAGACAGTGCTCACGTGGCCTGAATATTGGTCACAATCACAACAAAGCTTAATCCAGCCCAGCATATACATGTGAAAGTATAAACCATGAAGACATGTTTAGATATGTGTAAGTACTTAGAAAAGTGACGCTGAACAATTATATAGCTTTAAAAAATATAGGGCCAACTAATGCCATTTTACCTCATTCAACTCTCACTTTTTTATATGAAACATGTCTTTTTAAATTTTTATAAGACTTCGGTTAACTAGGCAGTGCCATGGAAAGAAAGGAAGCTGCTGTAAAGTTTGCAGCACTTCTAAGTGGAGGGAAGCAAATAGGGAAGCAAAATAAATTTGGCATTAACAAGCATCCCAGAAGGAACATTCATGCTTTAAACAATGACTTTACACATAACACTGTGAAGAGAGAGAGCAACATGTTTTCTGTAAGATACTGTTATGAAGAATTCCTGGCAAATTAACATTCTCACTTTATTTTGGGCATCAAAAACAACTACGTATGTCATTATGACCACAAAAAAATTCATCTCAGGAGTCAAATGTGCCTTGGCCTTAAAAATTATGTGCTTACTATTATGAAACAATCCTGTTTCTCATCCCAGATTCAGAATGCCTAAGAAATAATTTTTAGTGTAAAAGTATCATTCCAATTAAGTCATTAAAAATAATTCCCTTTATTTTTGAAAATATTCCCTTTTATTTTTGAAAGGTATGTAATTTCCAATAGTCGTCTTTGGAGCAAATTTGCTTTTTAAAGTTTCAGCAAAGTTAAGTCTCCATTCATTTGATATGTGACATGTAATTCCCTTTCTTTTTTTTTAATATATACCGAAATGCTGCACTAATCTTTGGTTTCATAAAACCAGGTTTCACATTATAATTTGTTTCCTTTGTCAAATACAGTAATTAATAAATGTATACTGCCTGATTTTACATGTATATGTGCCATTTTCATATGTGCATATAATCAGATTAAGAGAAACTGACCTTTAAACTTTAAAATATCCAGAAAAGGTATCTTTTTCTGCTACCATTCTAATTCATATTTAAGTCCCTTATCACTTGATTAACCAAAGTTCCCTTTAAAAAATATTGTGTAGACATGAATGAAGCAGCTTAGCAAAACAGTAACACTGACAAGACATCATCTTACACCATTAGCTAACATGGAGATGAAGGGAGTGACCATCTACAGTGTGTGAAATGCCACAAGAAGTCATCAACAAGGGAGGAGAGTTATGTCAGTCCAATTTCTTCAAGAACACTACGTGGGGTTTCAGCTTCCTGTGGAGGGAAAATGTGAGACTCTGGTAAGCAGATCCAGGGAGTCTTGAGAATGTGAAAAATTGACATGGAGAACATGCTTGTTTTAGAGAATCAAGAAAGCAATTTTGTGTCACAGTAGTATTCTAATAGTGGCAGCCAGTGGTTAATTAGGGTTTTGTGCCCCAAACATTGGAGACCACTAAAGGACGGTTTCAGCATTCATTAAGTCCCTGCTAATTACCTACCAACATGTTTCAGCATTCATTAAATACCTGCTAATTACCTACCAACATGCTGGATGCTGTTGCTTTAAGGCAAAAAGCCTTAGTGCAAGCCTGCTGGCAAATTATGAAATCACTGCTACTCAATTATATCTATGAAAGGTAAGTTATCTTCATGGTAAAATTCAAAACCTCTTCTGTGTTCCCACAATTCTTCACCTAATGTTGTGTTCCATGCTTTCTGTCACATGCATTTATAGAAATGTCTTCCTCTTGGAGATTTTAGTTAACTGTGTCCACAGCAGCAAGTCTTCAGCAACAGCTATCTTCCCAGACCTCCCCAGGGCAACCAATGGCATCACTAGAGGCCACATGCAGAAAGAATACTCTGGAACAAAGGCATTTTTGTTCTGTGTAGCAACCAATGCTGGTTTTTAAATGTCAAAGGAGGTCAAAACAAACCAGGCATATCCAGAAAAAAATTAGTTAAAAATTTTCCAGAGTGGCTGATTTTGCAAATCACAAAATAAAGGACCAAGGAGGCCAACTTTCAGGTATTACTAGCAAGGAATTTTGTAATTAAAAGGCAACACTGTCTTTTAATGAGGGAAAATAATATAAATTTTTGGTATCCAGTAATAAACTTACTTTTGCATCCTAATCATGGTACAGCACAAAACAAGAAGAGAAATTATATTAAACCACACATCTTTAGAATATTAATTGCATGTAAAGCACTTCATGGTATAATCTTAAGTTAATTAAACTCTATGGTCTGTTTCCTTATTTGGAAAATATGGGTAATAGTACTTACCTTCATATGTTTAGATTAAGTGAGTTAAGGTTCTGCCTAATTTATAGAAAGTGCTCCAAAAATGTTAGGTGATACAGCACACTTGAAATCTAAATGAAGGTTATTTAGCATTTAGTACTAAATGCAAGTACTATAAACCAATTCTATTTATAAAGCTCATGACCTTTTAGTATGTCTGTGTAGTAATGAAAAATGGGTAAAAATTAGCTTTAGTGAAAAAACCTATTTTTTTAAAAAAGAGTCTAACCTATGAAGTATTCTTGCCCCCTCAAATTGAACCTCAGTCTAATCAGATTACAGATCTAAATAGAGATGAGGGATAAAAGAACAAGCTAAATATTGCCACATGAATACTATGGCCAAATCCATAGGGTAGGATGTTCTGCAGCATAAATAACCTGGTTTAAAAAAAATGGCAAGGGGGGAAAAAAGCAGACTTGTTAAAGATTAAGAGACTTAAAAGACACATCAACCAGATAACAATGTGAGAGTCTTGGTTGGAAACTGATTCTAACAAATCAAATATCAAAAGGCATTTTTTAGACAATTAGGAAAAACTGAGCCAGGCACAAGATATTAGTTATTAATTGCTGTTAATTTTGTTGGGTGTGGCACACATCTGTTAGGGACACATACTTAAGTATTAAAGACACAATGACAGAATGTCTAGGGCTTGCTCTAAAATACTGAGGCAAAAATGGGGGGAGTGTTTGGGGAAACAGTATTTGACATCTAAATCACATAAGTATTAAAAGAAAAATTTAAAATAATTATTTTCCATGTAATGTTAAATAGTTTAAAAGTTCATGTGGCCCTTAATGTATTAAAGGATGCCTACATTGAATTCTACACAGTTTACATTCTCAGCTTATCCATGTAAAAATGTCCCACAACTACTGCTTGGAGCTGGTCAGACTTTTCCCCATGTGCTCACTGCCTGCAATCTTATATAGCATTTCCTGAAGAGAATCATGCTGCTTATCAAATATGCATTATTGAAAATATTTGTCCTTTCTAAAAGGCCTAGTTTCAAAGAATTATTTACACATTTTATTCTTGTGAGACTTGTACAGTTGAGTTTAAAATGTGTTGATAATATAAAATGGAACTTTCATATGTTCACACTGAAACTGTAGCTCAAAATTAGCCAGAAAAGCTATTCTCTAAAGTAGTAAAATTTATAGAAACAAAAAGTCAAATGGTGGTTACCAGGGGCTGGGGGAGAGAGAGAAATGGGGAATTGTTGATTCATAGGTATAGTTTCAGTTTTGTAAGACAAAAAAGTTCTGGAGATCTGCTGCACAACAATGTGAATATACTTAACACAACCGAACTGTACAGTTAAAACTGCATAAGATGGTGAATTCTGTGTTATGTGTTTTTAACCACAATTTTTAAAATTTGGCTGGAAAAATGAAAATATAACAAGTTATGAGGGATGGAGAAGAAAAAAGTCATTCACATGAGACGAAGTACATGCAATACTTTTATTTTAGACATGCAAGGAAAGCTATTTCAGAATCTACTAATTTAAAGCAAGCAGCTGTATACAGATAGCAAAAGAAGCAACATTTTGTTACAGCTTAGCACAAGGCATCCAACACAAACAGGCATGAGACAATGCATATTTATGTAGCATTAAAACCAGATGAATAACATATTGTGGGGCAGGAGGAAGAATGGAGGGGAAAAATGGAAATGAAAGACTAATGTGTTTCAATGCTTCCAATGTATGGTGCTAAATTTCCCATTTGATAGCACATCCAGGTACTTCAAATGTAGTGCATTACAGTGAGAATGTTAAGAATGGAAAATCTTATCTGTAAACCTGCCTAATGCTAAGTGTGGTCAAAATACATTTTCATACATCTTCTTTCAGTGGTAAATCAGTTTGAACATCTTGTGAAGTTATTGTTTAATAACTTACTTAACTCAGGCTTTATGCTCTCCAGATATAAACAATGAATTGTTTTCCTTTTGTAATAAAATATGCTGCATGTTTTATTAAAAGAATATGCAATAGTTATCAATATTAAAGGTTTTAAAATTCAGAAATATAATGCCACAGTTAACAAAGCATTAAGTATTTAAACAAGGACTTAATATATTAGAATGCCATCACTAGTAAAATATGTCTTTAGGTATTAAAAGTGAATATTACAATTTTTGAACTACATAAACTCAGCATTAATGCTTTGAAAGTTATTGTTAAGCAACAGATATTGCAGAATAGACTTTTCAGACATAGCTCTCTAGTAAGTTCTTAAAGGGATTGTTTGATATTATATAGCACAAGTGTGATTCAATAAATGTGGCACTACAAAGTTTCTAAGACTGTTTTAACCTTAAATATATAATAGCACAAATTAATTTTAGTTTCTTGTATTATTTTCACATTTACTTTTATGTGATATATTAGAACACATAAGCTCATACAGATTGTAAGATAATCACACAAAATAGTTTCTTTTTTTAACCTCAATATTTGAAGACCAAACCATACTATGTATTACGGTACTGCTCATTTTGACCTAGCACTTCAGCTATATTTTCTTTGGTAAATATTTTAATGATTGTCATGTTTTCCTCTTGTAAGATTAATCATAGGTGGTTCATTAATGATAATATGTATGTGTTTAAGATTTAATATTACTCAAAACACTTCTAGGTCATATTTTATCAAGATGAGATTAAATCAGTTTCAGAGAGGAATGAGCTGTATCAAGATCACATATAGAATGAAAATAAAACAGAAAAGTTTAGAATGTGAACAGGAAAAAAATACAATCATAAAAGTACTAGTTCTGAAATATTCTACTATAATTATACAAGATAATAAATCACCATGCTGAGGATATTTTCTTTCATATGTATATCAGCATTCTATTTCCTCTGTGAAATTCTGCATACTCGATGGGTAGTCATTTAGTACACAGGGACATTAAAATATTCATGACGTGGCTACAAAAGAAATGCATATATTCTTACACACGGTATACAAACTGACATAGACACAATCAGATTTCTAGAACATTTAGTTCATAACTAAAACTTAGTTTCTGTTTGTTTTTGTTCTTTGGTGTAAGGCTGAATATTTAACTTCTAAACAATGCCCAAGAATTTAGATTCATTTTTTTCTAACTTTACTATATATAGTGGTCAAAAGGATCACTGACATCCTCCAAAAATTCTACAAAATCCTAAAACACTATATTTACTACTAATACTATGAAAAGATTTTTGGTGTAAGTCATCTGGTCAATAATGAGTTGGCCAAAAATTCAATTAGAATATTCCCCTTCCACCAGTGTTTAAATTCATCAGAATTTTATTAAATGAACTAAAGAACCTAGAGAAAAATCCTTCCCAATAAAAAGTGGAAAAGTAGTCACTGATCTGGTATTTTAAGTAGCAACGAAGGTTTTTAACAGTTTACTTATAGCTACAAAAGCAAAAAATCCAAAGAATGTGACTAAGACTAAGGATATTACTTTTTAAAAAATCCTCAAAACAGATTTTAACGAACTCTCCAAACAGATTTGAGTGTCTACAGAAGGACTTCTAGGGGCTCCAAGAGTTCTCTGAAATTAGAAACAAAATGATGTACAAATGTTCCTGGGGAGAGGGCACATCACCCTTCAGGCTCTCAAAGGGATTATATTCCCACCAGAAAGCAATTTTAAAATTGCTTATTTGAATGTCTTTAAAGCATCCTCATTTTAATATTTATTCAAGTTGAAGCTTTGAAATGTTGAACTACAAAATCATGTAAACTGTTTCAAAAAAAAATCTAACAAATCCCTAAACTTACACAACCATTAAATACAAAAGTATCTGAAGACAAAAACCAGTTACATTTTAATCCTCAAAGAATTCCTAAATATTTTAAAGAGATAGCTACCCTTTCCTCCCCATTCAGAATAGATTATAGTGGAATGAAGCAGCAAGTTAAAATCATATTAATAAGAAATTAAACTCCCAAC